CCACATGAAGCGTGCCCAGGGCTGACCACTTGTGCTAAGAAAAGTCACAGCTAAGTGAGGGCCAGACACAGCCTGCGAGGCACGCTGTGAAAGAGTCGGGTCCAGCAGCCTCAGCAGTGGGTGCTTTTCATAGCATGGCCAAGGGAAAAGCCTTCCTGTCTGCTCACTGATTCTTCCTCTCAAGGCTCCTATTAGTTAATGTGCAGCTCACGGCTGAGCCTTGTAAACGGTACTTCTGGTTACCCTTCATTGGCCCCAGGAGAGAGCAATGAATCAGAGCTCTTGGCCTCGTAGAGTTCCTCACTGAGCGGATGTGCTGGTGGAGCAGGGATGGTTTGGATGAGGACAAGCGGGCTGGATGGCCCACGCTTCCTTGTCACCTGCTGTCTACCAAAGTGCTGCACTGAGTGCAGGGGGGGCAGTTTTTAAACTTACTGCCTTTGCACAAGGGTGTGTCAATAACTAATACTCACATTTGCTTCCTCTCCTCAGGGTTTTCCTGGTGATTTTGGGGAACGAGGACCTCCAGGCATCGATGGGAACCCAGTAAGTTGATAGCTTTTTCCCTTCTTTCTATTGCAGTAGACACCCCACTGTACTACATCGTGCTCCTTAGAGTTGAAAGAAGCTTTTAAGTTTGGTGGCAGTTGGTAGCATTTTGGTTTTGTCCCTCCTGAAAAACAAACGTACATCCCTGCTCTGCTTAAACATGCTGCCAGTTCCCGTGTTCAACTCAACATCCTGTAACTGCCAGGTCATCATGTTGCCATTTGCTTTCTGTTTCCATCTGTTGCCTTTCTTGCACCCTGGTCTTGACAGCTGCTTTTTCATCCTGAGAATATGACTAGAAGAAAAACAAAGAGAGAAAAGGTAGGGATGCTGCTCCTGATGAGCAGGCAGTGGTCAAAGCATGTTGTCCATACCACAGGGCCTGACACAAAGCGTGTGGCAGACGCAAGAAAGCTCTTGTTGAGTAGTCTGCTCTGGATGAAGCTTTGTATGAACATAGCAGGGAGACATGGAGGACATATAGAAGAAGGACATATCATCATAAGGCACCACAGATGCTTGAGTGCACATGGACCCTCAGAGGAGCAGGCCACGTACTCAGTTGTGTAGAGATCTGAGGTGCATAGAGAAAGAGCCGTGTTCCTCTCCTTTTCACCACATCTCATCTTCTGATGCAGGGTAGCAAGCTGGTACCACTTGGTTTGCATCTCACTAGGCTGTTGAAGTAAGCTCCTAAAGTTCTTCAAGCTCAGTACCTCTCCTCTTCTCAAGTGAATGTTAATAGTGGCCCAAAAAGCACCAGACTCCCTACTCCAGCGTCTGGTAGCACTGAGGGACAGCCACCACAGCTCGGGCTTCTGCTGCCCTGCCCCGTGCCTCAGCCAACCTCAGCACTGCAGTGGGAGAAGTCTCCAGGCTCCTGAGTTCTTGACCTCTCTCTGGTCTTCATCTGATCCCTGCTGGCTTTCTAAGAATGGGATGTGTCTCCTGGGAATTGAGTCAGGATGGTCCCAGAGACCATTTAAGCAGCTGGATGCTGATAAGATTTAGTTTGCTCTGCTCTTGTAGCACTTAATACCAAACAGTCGGGTATGTGCTGTGTTTTCCACTACTCAGAAAACATGCCCTTGTGGGATGAAAAAGTTCTCAGATGTATTAATTATTCTAAATTATTTTCTGAATGACGTTGTTGGTTCTCCTTCGATTAGCATGTGA